GACATATGCTGCTGCTTATCTAGATGATATTATTATTTATAGTAACGACTGGCAGCGGCATATGGAGCATGTGCGGGCCGTACTGAGAGCGCTGAGAGGGGCCGGACTGACGGCCAACCCGAAGAAGTGTGCGGTTGGGCGGGTGGAGGTTCGGTATCTGGGTTTCCACTTGGGCCACGGGCAGATGCTTCCCCAAATTAGTAAGACGGCAGCGGTTGCGACCTGTCCGAGACCCAAGACCAAAAAGGAGGTGAGGCAGTTCCTGGGGCTGGCGGGATATTATAGAAGGTTTGTACCTAATTATTCGGACCTCACCAGCCCGCTGACTGACCTTACTAAAAGGGAAGCCCCAGACCCGGTCCAGTGGACGGAGCTGTGCCAGCAGGCTTTCACCCAGGTAAAGGCTGCTCTGTGTGGCGGACCGCTTTTGCACTCTCCTGATTTTTCTCTCCCCTTCTTGCTGCAGACAGACGCATCGGACAGGGGGCTTGGAGCGGTCCTGGCCCAGGAGATAGAGGGGGAGGAGCGGCCGGTGCTGTACATCAGTCGTAAGCTCTCTAAGAGAGAGACGATGTACAGCACCATTGAAAAGGAGTGCCTGGCGATCCGGTGGGCGGTTCTCACCCTCCGTTATTATCTCCTGGGCCGGGAGTTCACTCTCTGTTCGGACCACGCGCCCCTGCAGTGGCTCCACCGCATGAAGGATACCAATGCGCGGATCACTCGTTGGTATCTGGCTCTCCAGCCATTTAAGTTCAAGGTGATCCACAGGCCGGGGGCGCAGATGGCGGTGGCTGACTTCCTCTCCAGGAATGGGGTGGGGGGTTGTAGGCCGGATGGCTCCCCGGCCTGAGTCGGGCGGTGGGGGTATGTGGTGAGGGGGGCGTGGTTTAGTGGAGTCCGCAGCGGGAGAGAGCGGTCGGAGACGAGCGGTGAGTAAGTAGGTCAAGTGCAAAATGACATTCACCTGCTTCTCGTTTCAGTGATTGGCCTGGAGAGACTGTAAAAAGCCTCAGGGGAAGCAGAGAGGGAGAGACGAGACAGACTGAGGACTCGTGGGGAAAGACTGTGGCCTGTGGCTAGAGAACCGAAGAAGTGCGATATAAGTTTTGTTTATTTTGATGCGCCTGAGTGCCTGCCTGTTTTTGCTGTTCCCAAGGGAACCATAATAAATTGCCACGAGCCTCAGTCACGCTGACTCCGACTCTTCCTTCCTTACTAAGAACCTCGTTACAATTGCAATTAAGAAATAAATCTTAAATATAGGCCTAAATATATAAGGATGATTTTTCCATTACTTGAGTGATATTTCAACACTTAAAGGTGCACTTATTTTTTTTTGGTTATGTTGTGTAATGGTATTATTCAGCTGGTCTTGTGATCTCAAAAAATTGCTTTTATTACAGCATTGGTTAGGAGTTGTCATCTCCAGATTTTTCTTTGTGTAAAACTTTTTAATGAGGGGAAAAATTCTGAGTGCACCTTCAGATTACTGTCAGTTATGACACCACATCTTGAAGTGAAACCATCAAAACAGAAATTGTGCTTGTGAACTTGGTACATTTTAGTCAGATGTTTTATAGATTTAGTGACTCCTGATTCTGTTTCCTTAAAGATGAGGAAAAGAAAATTACAGGTAATCCAGCCATAATGTCATTTTTACAGCCAGCTAATGTAAAAAAAGAAAATTCATCAGGTTCACTCTGACAGGTGAGGTATAAACCAGGCAAGCAAATGCTGACATACAGTAGTTCTTAAACTTTTGAAAAAGGATATTATGATCTGTAGTGTCAAATGCAGCGGTAAGGTCTAGTAATAGAAGCACAGAGATACATCCATTGTCAAGACTTTTCCATTCACCAAGATTCTCTGACTCAAACTGGTTCTTTTTCATCAACCAACTTCAGCAAAAATCAACTTGGACCTTCAGATTGCATCAAACCTCTCTTTCAGACATATGAGACGTGCAAGTATTCAAACTTAGTCTTATTAATTGATACATTAGGTATCATTTGCATCAAAAGGTGTGTTTGAACTAAGAATCTGATGTTTCCTTCAAGCGGTAGATCTGCTGAATATCAAATGGTACCATAGTTTCATATTCTTATTTCTCTTCTCTTTACTGCGTTAAGCTTTAACCCTTTCCTATACCAACTGTATGCGTGTGTGTGTGTGTGTGTATGTGTATGTTAGACTAGTTTAAGTGTTTATGTAGTTAATAAAGTCTTACTTGTATCACACTTGACGTTGTTCATTGTTTGCTCATAACTGGAGTCACTTAATCATGCAGATTTATGCTACAAGCTCTGTGTAGAATTGTACAGTAAGAAAGTTATTTCCCTTAACCAGGAAATTAACGTTCTTAGAATTGACAGACAGTTGACCCTGAGAGGTCAAGTAAATATCTACAGCGGATCTAAATATTTATAATTAATTATAACTAGTTATGATTAATTATTCATATTTCCCCATGAGCTGATTCGCTACACCCCTAAATCCTTTTGTTTCTCATTGCCATTTTACAGCATCTTCCTGAATTTTTTTTTTCCGCTTTGCCTTTAAAAGACCATCTTAGAAATAACCTTCAGCTACTCTTTGCTAACGCTGTGATCCTTTAGGAGATATGTAGAGTTGCAGGTGTTACACATTGTCAGAAACATATGACTTTTTCACATTTTGGTATTATCATTATTTCTTCTGGTGGTAATAATACTTCCTCCTTATTACCTTACTTTGACTGGGCACACCAAGTTTCTGAACACCAAATACGTGCTGTTGAAATGTAAATGCGTGAAGTCGTATTTTAATATTTCAGGCTTCTGACATCAGAAATCCAGGGTTTTCAGAATGGGACATTTTTGTCAGCCTAGTTTCAATAGATGTTTATTTTTTTTCACCGGAGAGAAAGTTTTTAATTTTTAAAGTTATTGGATGCTTTCATTGTAGATACAATAAGTATTAAGTATACATACAGTACCATTCAAAAGTTGAAATTACCATGGTTTCCAGTAATTAAGCAGCACAACTGTTTTCAGCATTGATAATAATAAGAAATGTTTTCTGAGCATCAAATCATCATATTAGTATGATTAGTATGATGACATATTAGTATGATGAAGGATCGTGACAGTTTCAGCTTTCCGCTTTTTCTATAACAGAAATAAATTACATTTTAAACTATATTAAAATAGAAGAATAACTATATTAAAATAGAAAGGAGTTAGCCTATTTTAAATGGTAATAATAATTCAAAATATTGCTGTTTTTGAAAATATTGCTGGTTATTCAGTGATTGAATAACCATAACTTTGGTAAGCAAAGATTTCTTTTCAAAACTTTAAAAATCTTAGCAACCCCAAACTTTTGAACAGTAGCATATATAATAAATTAATATTTATTGTGAGGCGAATGGACAGAGAAATTTGGTTTCTCATCATATGTCCGATTTCAATGAAATAACTCCTTTAAAGATATCATATCATAATCCTCTGTCATGACTGATGAATAAATTGTGGCATATATGTATATACGTTGCAAAACTGACAGGGCAAACAAAAACTGACAGGGTAATGAACTAATTTGTGTACTGGGTTATATGGGCACACTCATGTTGTCTGTGTGTGTGTGTGTGTGTGTGTGTGTGTGTGTGTGTGTATATGTGTTAATTAGCTTTAGCACAGAATGATAGGCCATGTGGCTGTGCTGTATTCTTTTTTTTTTGGCCAGAATGGGATGCTTGACCGCTAGTTGAGGGCTGCGCTAATGGGCCAGTTGCACAGAGCAGATGTGTGCTGAGAGCATGTGTGCCAGTGTGGACTCTGTCCAGCTCAACAGCTGGGGAAAAATGACAATGCTAGTCACTGACATCATCAATTACGAGGCCATTAAACCTTCATTCCGTTGTGATAATGACATGTGATGTAGCAGAAGGACAAAGGCCTTTTTGACATGAAGCTGTGCGTTCTGTTAAACCTTTGACTTAATTTATATAGACCCACTCAAGGACAAATGATAAACACACAATGCCAACCAGACCTAGATGGATTAACTAGAAACTTTGTTTCAACCTAACATATAGGCTTAAGCTTTATAAATTAAATTCTATTAATGAGATAAGAATGGATATGATTGAAAGAATTAAAGGAAAAATGAATAGTCTACAAGACACTTTGGAGTTGACAAAAAAAATGTGACTTGGTTTTTAAAGGAAGAAACACAATCTCGTGACTATTCACAAGCATTTTACATTTTGACGAATTGGTAGCTAATTCGTATGAATTGGCATGATTTTATATGCATGATTTTGTATGATCTGCTTACGGTTATGTTTAGGGATGGACTTATTTTTTGTTTACTTTTTTAATAAAAACCTTAAATTTTCGTATGATTCACATTGTTCAAATTAATATGAAATCTCTACTTTGTACTAGTTACATTTTCCTGAGGTCAGGTTAGTATTTGTGGCACAATCTTAAAAAATAAATGTTAAAATTGTTAAAATTGTTTAAATGTTAAAACTCAGAGTTTCAATAGTACAGCCACAAGACAAAAACAATAGATATTTATATTTTATATATTTTAGTCTGAACAAATTCTGTGTAAAGTTATAGTCAAATTTAGAGCCAACTTTGTTGCTCTGACAACGCAAGGCAATCAACAATAAAATGACTAAAAATTGTTTAAACAGCTTTTCAGCTCAAAGAGCATACAAGTTTTAACAGAAAAAATGAATGTAAGTGCTTTTATAAAATTACAGACTTCACATTTTTGCTTTTAAGTTCTTTGTGCTTTGTTGTAACCTTGGTTTTTGCTTTTTATCATTATTATTATTTTTTTTAAGACAATGGATGTTTCAGAAATATTTTAGCTGTAATCAGCTTGACTTGTAATGAACCCAGAATATTTCTGAATGCCATGAGCTAGAGAACGGATAAATCCACAAACTTATGATAAGGTTTGACAAAATTATGATCAGAGCGGGCGACATAAGCAAAAGAAGAAAAAAAGGGTGGTGGTTATGGTGGGGTTAGATGTCTGAAATGAGTTAGTAATGTTCTCAGCCAGTTTGCTCCCCTCCTGTGGAGAGAGACCTTTGGTGAATATTGAATGATGCTAATGTCAGTCTGCCTCCAAAAGTCATTCTCATTTTCCATCGACCAAAGCAAGGAAAACAATTCTTGCCAACCAGAAAAGCAGGCAGTAATAAAGCAGGGACGACAAATTAGAGCTGAAATTAAATAAAGGAGATTACATAAAGCAAGGGCGTGGGAGCATGAAATTCTGCTGAAAGATTTTGTGCAGTGGAGAGAGGTAGAAAATATGAATACAAAACTCTCTCTTTTTTTAAATCTTTGTTAAAGAGACTATGTTCAAACAGAGAATGGTACAGTATATGCCAATTATAAACCAGTCTTTTGTTCACTTTCTTGAATGCATTATTCATTGTGTAGAATCAATGGTGGCCAGCAATGATCCTGTGAATGGACATTGAACAGAATCTACTTTTATCACCATGGTAACATCTAATGCCATTGTAGAGGAGCTCCTGGTTCAGATCTTAGAAGAAGAGAGAAGTCTCTTGAACAGTGTTGCGTTAGGGCAAAAATCAGTTACGCCTGGCCAAGTCACACATCTGTTCAACACTCCTGCCTGCCTCTGTCTAATGCACCACTGATCACACAGAACGCAAACCTTCACGTATAATGCTCCACATATCATTCTCTCTCCTCTTCGTCGTCCTCTTCCCCGTTTCTTTTCAATCTGGATAATCTGATTTCTCTTCTGTGCATTTATGGCCATGATTCATTAAGATCCCAGATAAATGGCACTAATGTGTGTACGCGCTTCACTGGCTTATTGTGGATGATTTGCAGTATTTTCTCAAAAGTGTTATTCAGTCTTTTGATGATATTCAATATCTCAATGTTTGTGTTTGTTCTGAAATTTCTTTAAATATTTTTTTTCCACACTGTGTTAAACTGCAGTATTTGCCTACACATATTTTACTAAAACACACTCTTAAAACGGATATTTAAAACAACATCTAGTTAAGGACAACACATTTTGTGTTACTT